TATAATTATATTGTAAATGTGTGTTTGGTTTCTCATCGCCCGGCCCTGGTCGCTTGATGGGTTCTTGCAATCTGTCGTTGTTATTACTATAGACTAGTGATGGAAACCTTGCTGCTATTTTGCTTATTGTTTTTACATTGTCACTGTTAAACTAAAGGACTTGGCGATGCTGATGTTTTTGTGCAGTTGTTGTTTTGTTTAATATCACACCTATTATTGATTATAAAAGAAAACCTGTAATTGGTCTTACCGTAATTTATATTAGTTATAGAAGTACTATTTGTAACACTGTTGGTTTTCTCTAAATAAATAAATAAATTCAGCCTTTCTAAATCGGATGCATTTTTTAGCGTGACTGTGCCTCCTTGTAGCGGATGCAGTCGTGTTCGAATCTGGTGTTTTATTGCTCTGTTGAACATCTTTCTTGCCCTACGTCGCAACTTTTCCAGTTCAGGACCCCACCAATTGTGTTTGCCTTTGGCTGTTGTGCGTTGCTGTACTAGTGGGCATGATTGTTCATAACAGACGGTTAAAGTTGATGTTAGGTTAATCACATGTGTGTCTATTTCCATTGGATTTTTATAATCCGCTGGCAAGTGGAGACACTTCAGACTGGCCGTGGTTAGTGAAAAGAATTTTTTGCGGTCAGTCTTACGTGGAATGCGTCGTGGCTCTGGTGATTTATTGTTTATATGATTTATCGGTACCGTTCGGACTGTACAGTCTAATCGTAACGATTTCTCGTAGTGTGTATGTCTACCATAAGGTTGGTCACGCTGCTGCTTTTACTCTTGTCACTTAGTGTTCAATGTAACGCTGAGCGATATGCACGACAATTCTGCCGTGCTCAAACTAAAACGCAGCTAAATGACAAAACCAAACTTTTGAGATATGGCCAAAAAGGGCGCCTAATCTTTCAATAATTCTATTTTGTAACCATTCATCACATGATGGATTTTTAGACCAAAATATAGTTTTTAGAATTTTTGTCTGTTTGTATGTCCGGGATAGACTCAAAAAGTACTGCATGGATTTACTTTAAAGGACAATGGGCAAAACACACCCAGCTCCGCCAACAATGTCAAAACAACGTCAAAGCGCTTTACGGGGTTTGAAGAACTTGCAGTTATAAAAAGTCGACACTCATTAAATGTAAGCGCAGGATGGTCGATGGTCAGGGTTTGTCGTATATCTGGTTGTATAGTACGATAGGGCATATCATTATGGTTACTAATAATATAAAATTAAGGTACTTTAAAATGAATTAATTTAACTACTTAAATATGCCCATGTGTCATATCTTTTAATTGGTAGGGTATTTTTTTACGGTGTCATATCTTTTGACTACCAGGATATTTTTTTACGGTGTCATAATAAAAAAGGCTAGTTTTTCATATATCTATCGATTCACACTAATTACATTATTGGCGGAGCTGGGTGTGTTTTGCCCATTGTCCTTTGAAGTAAATCCATGCAGTACTTTTTGAGTCTATCCCGGACATACAAACAGACAAAAATTCTAAAAACTATATTTTGGCTTTGGTATCGATTTTAGATAACACCCCAAGTATTCCTTTTAAAAAATATTCAATGTAGAGTTTTGACTTTCCTACCATTTTATTATATGTATTAGTGATGTTATGAATATTCGCATTCGCGGATATTCGCATATTTTTGCATATTCGCGTTCGCATTCGCAAAATGTCTGCGAATGTTGTGCGAATATGAATATTAGAAAAAAATCATTTGAAGAAGTTGTAGTTCTTCCTTTCCTTGAATATTCATTGTTACACAGCACTAAAATTTGATTTACTCATGTTAATAAATCTCTAAATTCACTTGTTTTGTTTAAGAAAAAACCGGCGCGAGCGGATTGACACTTCAGTCGGATGAGTTCATATCAACTCAGCAATTTGAACCAGGCTGCCACCATGCCATAGACAATTGGCGCCAATTTTATTATTCGCATTCGCTAATGTTGGTACCAGATATTCGCATTCGCGCATGTTTAATAAATGACATTCGTTACATCACTAATATGTAAAGATTATGTAGTTGTAATTTCCAATTTCAGGGCTAAAGACGCGTTTTTTTCTATTGTTTACTTTAGTTCTAACAATTTAATATAACTGTGCTACGAACCCGGTCATAGAATATAAACAAAACCGAGTACTTTTAAAAATTACATTACTGAAAAATTACCATTTTTATCTTTAGAATGAATAATGAAAGCTCAACCCTCATTAGTTTGAACATATTTTTGGTCCTTCCACGCGCGGATTCGTAGTTGGTATTCTCTAAAGTTATTGTGTCTCATTTTGGTAACACGATTTAAATAAGTAGACCTATAAGAATTCGGTACGGTAATCAGTATTTTTGGTAGGAAATCAGAGCTGTACTTATAAACTAGGTAGGTTACCATACGTTTGATACTTAACTACTCAGGTATTGTAATAATTATCCCGGGCAAACTTAAATATTCAAAATAACATTGGCCAAGCTCAGGATCGAATCACCCATCTTTTGGTATCGACCCCAAGGTCGATTTCGTTCAGCTATCCGTCTCTTGCAGCGTGTTACAAAATTACGGATACCTACCTTGTGTCAAATACTCTACTTCCGTTTCATCGAATCTCAAGTCACAACAACACTAAAGAAGTTTTTACTTCAAAAACTTCTACATTGCACTGCTGCAATCGCTAAATATTTTGATTACGCCATACTTACTTTTTTTGTGGAATTTTGTAATACGACACTGACATCACTTTGAAAGATGTCAAGATGGAGTCGTATTTTTTTTAACTAATATGATGATATAGTTAATTTTTTTAAGGTGAATAATGGTGTCGATTCTAGCATGATTCTCTAAACCTAAACTTAAATTTGACAGCAGTATATCCTTGTCATTCTCTATACAGAATGAAAAGGAGAGACTGATGTTAAATTTAGTTTTAAGTTTAGAGAATCACGCCAGAATTGGCACCAATGAGTTACTTAGCGATGGTAAGTGACTTTGTTGGTTGTTTTTATGTGTCCTTAATAATTTCGGCAAACTTTTATCGCGCATCACGGCATTTCAAAGCAATAATTTCCACACGAAACTCTGTTATTCTGCCGTCCTCAAACTAATGTGCGGCTAAGTGACATGTGGTCGACTTTTCAGTCTTTAATTGCATCTTATACAGAATTAATTCTGTATTGATCTTTCTTTAACAAGTATTCGTATCTTTTATAGTTTAAGTCTAAAAATCCATCATGTGATGAATGGTTACAAAATAGAATTATTAAAAGATTAGGCCCCCTTTTTGGCCATATCTCAAAAGTTTGGTTTTGTCATTTAGCTGCGTTTTAGCTTGATCACGGCAGAATTGTCGTGCATATTGCACAGCGTTACATTGAACACTAAGTGACAAGAGTAAAAGCAAGCAGTTGGCTCATATTTTTTCAACGTCATCTGCGCTGCCTCGCTCTGTCTAGGAGTAAATAATCAAAGACTGCAGCATGGTATTTATTAGTAAATTATAAGTAATTTTTTAATGCTATAATTTTATTTTTTAAGCATGTAACTGCTTGATGTTTAAATCTAAAGAAAATATAACTCGAAAAAATCCACGCGGACCAGACAGCAGACGGGACAGCCTGGTCCGCGAATTTTTTCAAAATTTTACTGCTAAATTATAACATTGAATTTTGTTTAATTTGCTTTTAGATAAATCTAGTTAAAATGATAAATAAGAAACAAAAAGTACATAATCTCTTAAACATTTGCTTAAAAATTAACAAATAAATTCATATTATTTTTGCATGGGGTTTCCTATATTGTTTTTGGTCTGGGCAGTCTCTTAGCAAGGCTTAGCAGTTATCTGTCTGGCATATGGATGGCGATCCCAACAGAATTGGTAACTTACCTCTACAATATTGATTTCCTGGTAAAACAATGTTTTCGCTACAATTACCCAGATTATTAGCTAAGTGACTGTATTAATAAAACATTCTGACAGTCATAACAGCATCTAGCATTTGGAAATTTTACGACATTTTAACCAATATTTCAGAGTATTCTTTAGCTTCCTAATTCTTATTTAGGAAAAGGCTAGAGAGTTATTAAAAATCTACAAAAAATTCCTTGATCTTTAAAAAAACAAAATTCAATATCGTTTATTCAGTCTAGGCTGGCACAACCACTTGTAACTGTCGACAAGCTACGCTATCGATTCGCAAATCTAAGCCATCAGTTCGCAAATCTACGCCAGGAGACCTTGTACGGAGAAGAACCGGCATGAAACTCAGCTAGGGCTGTTTTTTTTCTCCCTGTATTATATACAAATGTCGTCAAATTTAAAAATTACTTCAATATGAGATAACTCATGAAGTCACTTTCTATTACAAATGTAAATGATATAAAAATTATGAATCAAACACTTAAAAAAATATAAAAAAACTGATTTAACAAAGTTAAATGTGCGATTAAAGTTAAATACAACCATTAATAGTACCCAATGTAGCAAGAGCAGATCATCTCTGATGGCAGCACCCGTTCACGAGCATGACGCTTGAACCAGCCATCGCTTCGCTCAACCATATTTTAAGGGATACAACGACCCTCACGGGGCACCCTCACGACGCAACGACGGGGAGTGGAGTTCGGCTGCGATCGTTGAAGTTAAGCAACTTTCGCAATGGTCGGTCATTGGATGGGTGACCAAATATCTTCTATCTCGAGTTCCTCCGTGCTTTGGAAGGCACGTTAAGCCGTTGGTCCCGGGTACATCTGCAGTCGTTAGCACCCGCTAATTCGCACTGGGCCCGCGTGGTGGGTCATGGCCCAATCTCACCATTCTATCCATAGGGAAGGTCTGTGCTCCTGTGCAGTGGGGACATTAAGAGGCTGATAATGATGATGAACGTCCCGCCTCACACGACTTTTGTTTACTCAGATCACACAAGTGAATAAAAAAAACCCTATATATCAAATGCATTATCCTAACAATGGCTTCCAGAGTCTATGGATCATCCTGTGGTGCATGTATCATGGAAAGATGCTAAAGCATATTGCTCATGGCGTGGAGCCCGATTACCTACTGAAGCCGAATGGGAAGCAGCATGTAGGGGTGGTAAGCACAATACAAAATATCCCTGGGGTGACAAATTGTTTCCTGATAAAAAGTATATGTAAGTGTTCTCACAAAAATCAATAATAAATAACCTAGGGCCTTAGATTAAAATAAAAAGGGAAGATACGGCACTCGCAGCTCAAAAGTGTACCGCTTAAATTGTGGTGCATGAACATAAATAGGTAGTTCAAGGTTAAATAACAAATTTCACAGCAACACTTTTCATTTGTAAAACTAGAAAAATCATTTTTTTTCAAAGATCAGGATTCGTCATGAATGTTATTTACTTATTCGCCAATTGTTATCAAAAAAAGGACAACAATACAGCTCAGTCGGCTGCAAAGCGACGCGGACTCGTCGTTATGCTCGCGCTGCGTTGAAACGTACAGTCTGTCTCGCTCGCTCGATTTAATGTTTATTTACAGAAGTTTGCGTGTGTGAGAGTTGCTTATAAAGTTGAGTCGGAGCATATTTTATTTGATGCTAGTATGAGCGTACCGTATCTTCCCTTTATATTTAAATCTAGACCTAGGGCACACTAGGTTTCTGGAACAGGACTTCTTTAAAAAATATACCTATTGTCAGTAGAAAATAAATAGAACTCTTAAACTGATTTCGTGTACTTGATGTACACTGACATGCATTTTGGAAAAAAATAAAATACTTAATTGTTTTGTGGGCGTTTTTGCGGTGAGTTACAAAAAACTACTAGGTACATTGACTAATTTTTAGAAAAAAAATATTTTTTGTGATACCTGCAGGATACTGAATAAAAATTAGGGCAACAAAATATTACAATATTGTTTGATGAAAATGCAAAAAATACTGCTACAATGGGGCCCTGTTGTTTGTTGAGGGCGGCATAAACTCATCATGATACGCCACTGATACAATGCCCATGACGAGGAACCCTTCTATCACATGAACTTTATTCATGTGATTGCTATTGTTATTTATTTATCGTCAGGTAATCCCCAACCACAGAATCCATGAAACGACGATCAATAAGTACCTATAATATATCATAAATACTTTAATGCTTCTTACCATGAATAGAAAACAAATAAAATGTTATGGTGTATTATTCCAGGGCAAACATTTGGCAAGGCACTTTTCCTAATTACAATTCTGCAAAAGATGGATTCATAGGCACTAACCCTGTACATATGTTTCCTGAGAATGGTTTTGGTCTTTACAATATGGCAGGAAACGTTTGGGAGTGGACTGAAGATTCATGGTCTAAGGATTCTGTAAGTTTGCATGTTATTATTGACTCAATAGGGTTGACGACTAACTTTTTTCTCTTTGTCTATTGGGTAGATTATCAAAAAGTATTGGACATTTTTTGTTTTTTATTTACAGACCTAATCGAAACGTTTCAGAGATATATTGATTTGAAATGTCACATGATGTCATGTTTTGGTATTTCCACTTAATAGTGGCGATCAATTTTTACTGAATAGTGACGTCACGAGGCCCCACTCCCAAACTTTGACGCGCTTTATTTTCGTTTGATTGACCAAATGGAAAATACGTGTCCATTATATTTTGATAATCAAATCGACGGACTTAATAGAATTTTGTTTAGTCTACCCCGTCGTCACCCTTATTGACCAAAGGCCTTTTACCATGTGAATTTATTGTTACTATGAATACTAAATACAAAATTGAAAACTTTCAGCCTAAAGAAAAAGTTAAGAAAGGTGGTTCCTACTTATGTCACAAGTCGTATTGCTACAGATACAGGTGCTCAGCTCGATCACATAATACGGAAGACAGTTCTGCAGGTAACCTTGGATTCCGCTGTGCAAAATCTCTTTGATGAATTTTACATGTTTTTGTGAACACTTAAATATAGTACTTAAATTAATAACGCCAACAAACTGTGAATGTTATTTTCTTTAATATACGTTAAAGGTTATGTTTATCCATTAAATGGTAGTCAGTTGTCATCTTAGATTAAAAGAAAAAGGAAGATACGGTACGCTCATACTAGCATCAAATAAAATATGATCCGACTCTTAAGCAACTCGCACGTCTGTATATAACATTAATACGAGCGAGCGAGACAGACTACGCTTCAACGCAGAGCGAGCGAAACGGCGAGTCAGCTTCCGAGTGCGTACGACTGAGCTGTATTGTTGTCCTTTTCTTGATAACAAAATGGCGATTACGTAAATAACATTCACGATAAACCGTGATTTTTGAGAAAAAAATGTTTCTGTAAAAACATTTTACGAATGAGAATTTGTGAGATTGAGAGATTTGTGCTCTATATAATATAAAAGCATCGAACGCATTTTTTTATCTTTATAACACAGAATATACGCAATGTTTTTATATTGAGCGTACATGTAGCGTGTTTGAATGTCCAATTGTGACTACAGCGAATTGTGATTGTACCGTACACCACAATTTAAGCGGATCACTTTTGAGCCGCAAGTGTCGTACGTATCTTCCCTTTTTGTTTTAAACTAAGGTTGTCATCCTATTAAAGTTTTTGTCAAGTTACACTTTCATTATATTTTTTTGAAATGTTCTTTTAAGAGGTATTTTCGCCATGTTATATATTTCAAGAACAAGTTTTTATCTCATTTTTTTGATAGTAAGCCAAGTTTTTACAATTATAAGAGTATGGATATTGTGTATATATATTGTATACATAATGTACCAATGTACATTTTTATTAATGAGCTTTGTGATTTTGTTGATACTTAATAAATCTAAATATATACGTAACTTGACATTTTTCTTATACACAACAAGTGACCCGTCCTGGCTTAGCTACCGATTAAAGATGTAGGGCATGAATATGACTAAAACATTATAGAATAATTATTTATATGATGGTGGAAACCGTATCAAAATCCGTGGCGAGGTTAAACGACTACTTTATTTTTATAGATAGACTTAATGGAAATAATTATTACATTGGAATTCTTCCAGTTCAATATCACTATGAAATTCAGTGATGAGGAATGATGCTATGCACTATTTAATTTGTGATTTAATAGGTAACATGGACCTATAAAGTGATCTGTTCTTATTGAGACTTACGATTAGTTGACCGGAATTTATGATAAGTCCCAAAATGTTGCTACTTCTATACTGCTAATTGTTGATTAAAGGAGTAAAAAAACAACATAATATTCATTGTCCTTATTATGTATTTATTTGCATATCTTTGTATAAAAATTACAATAGGTACACAAACCAATTTCAATATGAATGAAACAATATTTTACAAAAGTGGCTTTAATTTATATTTGTATGATTAAAGTTCGGAGCACAACGTTTGGCGAATTTAATCACCATAAGTACAAAAATAAAACGGAAGACTATAAATAAAGGAAGAACTTTGATGGCTAATTCTACAAAACCCGTTAATTTGATCTTATATATAGATAATTTTGGTATTAAATATTATATTAAATTAAACAAAATAAATAATCAACACAACCACTTTAGTGTCATATTCTAAACTACATTGAAAATCAATGTTAAGAAATAAAATACAGTTATTGTACTTAAATATAATAAAAACAATATTAATAACTATGTGTAAAAGTCAAATAATACCACAACAAAAAATGTTGCATTAAAACACTAACGTGTCACTTACAACACTTTTAACTAATATTGCATCATCAGAAGTCACACATTGACATTGGCTAATTCAATATATTGCCTTACATATGTCGCAATATAACATAATAAAAAAAAACATTTCGCTACTAAACATTTTTAAAACTCAGGCAAGGTACTGTTATTATATATATATATATATAAAATGATAAGCACCTCAGCGAAACAGTTACACATATTCACAATTATTATGACTGTACTCCTCGAGCTAACTGCTAAAAGCATCACCAAACAGTTGAAAGTACAAAACGCTATGCGATCACAAATCTAACTAACAAGTTATAATATCGATAAAAATAAAATTTACACCGTCGATACCTCCTAACCATATGTACACTACATAATCACATTAAACACTAGTAATAGCGCAATTACATTTGGTCGTTATCCCGAAATAAACGCAGCCGTACGCCCGTATTTGGACAGTTTTTGTTTTGGTTGCTCGACGCCGTCTCCAGCCCGTGTTCGAGTAAAAACAATATAAATATTGTTTCGAATGCCCGAATTCGTGCATCCAAATATGGGCTAACAACCAAATGTAAATGCGCCTTAAGTGTGGGGCCGCGAGTCCACGTATGACATTTGAACTTACTCGATCGCGTTCACGTAAACGAGAAATCGTAATAGCAACCTCATCTATTAGAAAAGACCAGAGTATGTACTAAAAATAACTGTTATTGAGTAATTTCTCATAAAGGAGAGGATTTTAGTCCATACTAAATTGTATTTTTAGTATCCTTTCCTTTGTTTAATTTTTTAACATCACAATGCAGATGTCGTATATTCTAATATTTATTATCGATTCATCTTTTTCATTGAGTTTCAGTGAGATAGTTAGAACTATGAAAAAAATATAACTTTCGACTGCCTTATGCGACAATTTCTCGATCCAGTCTATTTTAAATATTACACTAATCGTCCAGTCGCATGCCGCTACTACCAGAATATGTTTGTGACGCATCACGACACAATAGTCTGTTTCTGCTACTACACTAGAGTTTGCATTGCAAATTTTTGGTTGGTCTGATTGAAATTGATATAGCAAAAATTGCTGCATACGGAGAAAGAGGGGGCGGTGTAAGCCGCTTTTTGATTGGCCGAGGTATTGTGACGTCACGATCTGATGGCTAAATAAGTGCAAATTGTACACGACGGTTTGGGTTCGTGCCACATGCTTCGTCTGGTCTTATTACAAATTAAGCTTAGCAGAAACGTTTGTCCTTGTATGCGGTCTCTAGTCGGGGTGCTGTGTGGTATATTATTTTATACTTCCATGGTCACTAACACTATGGTAACTTATGTTGTTAACGGGATTGCTTCCATGTACCACGGAGTCGCGGCGCTTGCAACAGTGCCAAAATATCGGGAGCTCACAAAAAACATGGTAGCCATCTCGTTAATAACATAATAATATATTACTACAGTGCTATGTGGTTATTATCAGTCTCTAGAGTAACGTGGCGGCGATCGAGTCAGCGTTCTAGGGTCGGAAGCGGGGATGGGGTGGGGACGTTTGCGAGTGCAATGTTCCTGGCACGCGGCGTTCGCGAGCGCAATGTTCTTGGCGCGGGGCGTTCGTGAGCGGCGCGTTAGCTGCCAACGGACACGGGCCGAGCGCGCGCGTTTTTGAACGGTTGGGGCGGGGACGTTCGCACATAGAGGTATAAGATTAGAGTAGGGGAGATATAGACTCTACTACAAGTGGAAGTGTCCCTCTAACTAATAGAAAGAGAAAGAAGATGAGAGACCGCTAGCTTCTCTCTAATCGCGCATGCGCATTGGCAACCGTTAGAAATCAGAAATCAATATATTATCTTTATTCAAATTGGATGTATAGTACAATTCTTTTGAATCGTCCAAAAATTTTTTTCCCTACCACTCGTTACGGACATATTTTTTATTTTTTAGCTACGGAGAAAAATATCTTACTATTTCCATGTGATGCCATGCATCACAAGAGAGAGATAGCTAGCGGTCTCTCATCTTCTTTCTCTTTCTACTAGACGGACACTTTTAGAGCCGCCTTCCCCACTCTATTCCTCGTACTCTTATACCTCTATGCGTTCGCCATTGCAGTGTTCGCGGCGCGTCAGTTGCCGGCGGGCACGGGCCGAACGCGCACGTTGCTGAAGGGGCGGGGCGGGGACGTTCGCGAGCACAATGTTCGCGGCGCGCGGCGTTCTCGAGCGCTGCGTCAGTTACCGGCGGGCACGGGACGAGCGCGTGCGAACGCGCCCGCGCCGTTCGCGTGGCCGTTGCTGAAGCCGTTCTTCACGGCGCCGTTCTTGTATGCACTTGTTGCCTTTATCTCCGTCGTCTCCGGCTGCGGAGATTTGGCGCGGACCTGGGAAACAATAAATTGACACTTAATTTAATATCACACTAATATAAAAAGCCGAAAGTTTGTGAGTGTGTATGTTTGTTACTTCTTCACGTCTCAACGGCTGGAGCGATTTAAATAAAATTTGGTATGGAGTTAGCTGACACCCTGGATTAACACATAGGCTACGTTTTACTGCAGGAAAATATCCCTAATAAACCGCGGGGCAAAGCTAGTGTGTATATATGTGTGTGTCTGTGTGGTGTCGATTTTGTCATGATTCTCTAAACCTTTACTTAAATTTGACAACAGTGCATCCTTGTCATTCTCAATACAGAATGAAAAGGAGACTGATGTGAAATTTAGCTTTAAGTTTAAAGATGCATGCCCGAATCGACACCAATGATAGTTGATTTTTGAAATTTGATCATTCTTTGCTGCGTCTTTTGCTAAACTCTGATGATGGATAAGCTAATGGAGGATGAAACTGTGCACGCACTGGGACAGCAAGGATCAACTCACACACAGTCATAATGTGCGCGATCCTTTATTCGACGAGCGACTTTTTAATACCACTTATCTTGTTTTTTTACCGGCAGCAAATTCATATCTATTTTCTTCGTATTAAGGTATTCGCAAAGGGAAAAACATGACGCGTCGCTTCGACTCTACGCCCCAGTGTGAGTTGAGCCAAAACTGCGGCGAATTTACCGTAATGTAAGCACTGCGACAAAAAACCGCAAGATATTTTCATGCAAAAATTTGGGGCCACACAGCGCTACGTGGACACTGTTCTAACTTTCCTGAACTACAACAATAATTATTCTAATGTATGATTTGTTTTGAAGTTACATAATTTCGGGATTGCTATGCTTCTTATCATTGTTTTCACAATAAAAACTAAAATCACCTTAGCCTTAAATTAATAGAGTGCATGCCGATCTACCAGACGAACGCAGTCTATGAACTCTTCTTAGTTTTAGAAGAATAGGACTTATTATAGAAGTCTTTAAATAAGAAGAAAAACATGACGGCGTGCATGCCGATCCAATTACAAACCAATATTGAAGTAGACGCTACATGTACTTCAAATTGTATGGAAACCGAGGAGCGCCTCAGATTTCGAGTACTTACGAGAACAAATAAATGGTATTGCCTATTTCAATTACATCGTATTTACAGCTTAATATTATGGACATAGTTAGATATTTTTTAAATATTACGGTAACGCGATCAAGTAAATTAGCGTAAAAGGAAGACCTTTGGTCTCCCTTTTGGCACGCGAAGTACAGACTTGCGTTATTGCGATCTATGTCTGTAAATCCATCAGACGAACGCACGCGGGTAGTCTCATTTTTTTATGTTTAAAAGGGTGGCAAACAAGCTTATGGCCCGCCTTTTGGCAAAAGGCCACCAAAGCCAAGACGCTTACCTACGATACAAAAAATGTCACTCACGCCGTTGCCTACCTTGACACAATCCCCTGCCCCGCGGTGTCCTGGATCCTTTCTCATCGACAAAAACACAATACCACCAAAGGGTACTGTTATTTTATTGTGTTCATACTCTTAGTGTTTTTAAGGATAAGGGCTATCTCACTTTGACCAATATTTATATATTACAATCAGCAATTTTTATTATACAAAATCCAATATACTTTGAAAATAAAACCACATTACGTCTGAATACGCGTAATAAATATAAATATGATATACGCATACCTAGGATTAGTGATGTAACGAATATTCGCATTCGCGAATATTCGCATATTTTTGAATGTTCACATTCGCATTCGCAAAATCTCTGCGAATGTTTTGCGAATATGAATATTAGAAAAAAACAATTTGAAGAAGTTGTAGTTCTACCTTTCCTTGAATATTCATTGTTACACAGCTTGCATTTAGCTCGTTCAGCATCGCAAAGTGTGAAATAAGTCCATGTTTCACTAGAATTCGATTTACCCATGTTAATAAATCAATATTCAAACTCTAACCTCAAAATTCACTTGTTTTGTTTACGGAAAGACCGGTGCGAGCGAATGACACTTCAGTCGGATGAGTTCATATCAACTCGGCAATTCGAACGAGACTGCCACCATGCCATAGACAATTGGCGCCAATTTAAAAAAAAACTAAATATTCGCATTCGCGAATGTTAAAAAAATGACATTCGTCACATCACTACCTAGGATAAATAATCACTTGTATTAAATAGCGCGTTCAGTTCTAGTATAAAGATCTTCAATCATTTGCCTGCAGAAATGAAAGCACTCAATTTGCCACTGTTTAAATTTAAGTTAAAAAACTGGTTCCTAAATAATATCTTCTTTAGTGTTGATGAATATCACACTTGTAAAACTAAATATAATTTAGGCTCTAAAATGTAAATTTTAATAGAAAATAGTTTTAAGTTATGAATTTTCCCATTGCATGCCCGTTGTGGGCACTGTTGTGACTTTATCATTGCAATTCCAACTGCAAAATTGTACACAGTTTTTAAGCACTAAAGTTATTATTATTAAGAACTCACCTTAGTCTTTGAAGAATAGGACTGGTTGTAGAAGTCTTTGAATAGGAAGAAGAACATGACGGCGTGCATGCCTATCCACCAGACGAATGCGCGCGGGTAGTCGCACTCTATGAACAATAGCTGGAACGCGTGCACCATGATACCGATGAATTGGACCTGGGAATAAATAAATAATAAATAAATTAATATTTCCAATACTCACACCAATTAGCCTTGCCCCAAAGTAAGCACTATAAGGCCTGTACATATAAGGACTGGAGTACAAATGCTCGTGTTCATCACACAAACATCTACCCCCACCGGGATTCGAACCCGACACCATGAAACCCGGCGTACAAACCACTCGGCCACGGAGGTCGTCAATGGGAACAAAACATTAGTTTCATTCAGAATCAGATAAACCTTGACCGCCTATTTAAAAAACGCAAACAAAAGTTATTATTATTTATTAAAAAAGTTAAACTTGAGACCCAAGCACGAATTTTAACGTGGCTTGACATTTAAAATGGCAAAGCTAAGGATTTTATCTCTCTCGGTCTTCCAGGTAACAATAATGTGCGAGAGGGACAGAATCTAAGGCGTCGCCATTTTAGATTCGTTTCTTTAATAGGTAGCGTTTTAGCAGGAACTACCTCCCACTGTCAAGTTATCAATTATATTCATCAATATTATGTTTACAATACTGTCAAATCTTGTACTAGGAACACGGAATACGTGTTCAACAATCGTTGGTGTTATATACTCTCGTACTTATACGTTGGTGGTTTATAATAATTTTAGTTATTGTAGTGGTTATTAGTAGTTATCAAGATGAATTTTAGTTTGTGTTTAACTATTTATAACACAACAATTATACATAATTACATTTAGTTGTTCAGTCTTGCAACTTTATTGTAAGACTACAATCAAAACAAAGTAAAATAAAATTAAATAGCATCATGTCATGTTGTTTAATAAATATAATGCTACACTTGAACATTGTAGTATAAGTTATGCTATTATATTCATAAGTATGATTTTAACACTTCTAGCAAGTATGTTGCGTTATTAACAGGAATTGTTAAGAATAAACACATTTTATGTAATACTTATATGACCCACAATAATAGCACAGTATAATAGGTAATACTTGTGCCAAGACAGTTGGAGCTGCAATTTGTCAAATGTGGTTTTGAATATCCACGTACATATCGCAATATATAACGACTTTAGAATAACTTCAATCATTATAATAAAGACACAAGACAAAATTGGTGTCAACACAAAGTAGGTATAAAATAAACTGTGACACAAGTTTTCAATGGTCAAGGGAATACAAATAAATAATTGTACGTTAAGAAAGACGATTGTGGTGCACAAAAATAGTATTTATTTATTATCGTACCTGAATCGATAGCGCTACATCTCTTTTCTATTGAAATAAAAGAACACTTTGCCCCTTTTGGTGGCGTACTACAAAAATTAATCAGTACTTTGCAAAAGTCACTTGAAACTTGTAACACTTTGTTTTTTATAGATTAACAGCTGTTTATGTACTAATACTGCATAAGCGTGTGACATTCCCCGAATGTAGATGAAGCTTGTAACGTCGCTATACAAGCTTCTTACAAAGGATACAAGTTTGCATCAAATTAAGTCGTCATGCAACCTCTTTGTCACACTGTCGCATCCAAGTTGAGATTTCGATTCCAAAGAAAAATTTAGTAATGCGGACTCTAATGGGGGTGCTTTGTGGGCGATGACAACGGCAATAATAAATAGTTATAATTTTTACAGCTTGCAACTTAAGAATGGCTAGAAGAATTTCGACGCGGTCCGTGAGGGTCGCGGTAGCATAATTGGTCAGTGCATTCGCCCGGATTGCGAAGGGTTCGAGTCCTGTCTGCTGCCTGGTCCGCGTGGATTTTTTTCTAGTTATATTTTCTTTAGGCAATAATAAATGTTGAATAGTAATTAAAATTAAAAAAAAAAAATCGTTTTGCTCACCATCTGCAGCGTCGTTAAGTACTTCTTCCACCACAAGTAAGGCCTCATCTGCGGCCCCATAGCGGCGAGCATGTAGTACGAATACATGATGATGTGCACGAATGTGTTCAGCAGACCGAAGAACGTCGAATGTCCGCCCGGAGTGAACTTGACTCCGAACCATACGGACATGGGCATCACGCCGTGGTGGATCACGTGCAACGTGGACACGTGGTCGAATTTCTTTCTCAGCACGAAGAAAATCTGCGGGCGATATGAACAAATGAATAACGCTTGGAGGGATAAGCAAATGAATAACATTGCTTTCCAAGAACAAGGAAGATATTTGTGGGAATAAACAAATGAAAAACACGTCTTTCTTAGCACAAAGATCTGCGAGCGATTAGAAAAGGCAAGAACGTGGAGTGATTGTCCCGGGTAAATTTTACCAAGAACCATTCGGCCATGGGTATCACGTCGTGGTGATTCACGTGCAACGTGGACACGTGGGCGAATTTCTTTCTTAGCACAAAGAAGATCTACGGGCGACACGAACAAATGAATAAACCAGCTCGTTCAGTTGCCCAAATCGCGTTTTAGCTATACCCTCGACGCTAACTTTAGAACAACAAATGATTTGGACATAAAGTTAACTAGAAAAGATGAACAAACAAATGAATTATGTAGCTGGTATTGTGATTACAGATGATGTAATAAAACCGTCTTGGGTAGATCAGGTTTTCCAGTAACATTTGATTTAGATATAAAAGTCTAAAAACAACATTGTAAGTTTTTTGCGACATATTTTATGTCTTTGCACAAAAAACTACCAAATGTCAAAATTACTTTTTTACAATGCCATTCGACATTAAAATATTGTAAAAACCATACAAAATTTATTCGTAAAGGCCCGTCTTTTTTAACATTGTGAGGAGAATCATTTCATCAACCGAAGCTTAGGTATCTTATATTTCTGAAATAACAATAAAGATATAAGATAAAGAAGAAGGCAAACTATGCGAAATGCGACATCGTAAATTCATGGCTGTGATATATTTATTTCTATAGACCTTGATCTCCATGTATTTTAAGCTGGTAAATATGTTATAATTTGCTTTAATAATATATTGTTTTACACTTTCATGGTTACTAACATTATCGTTATTAACGGGAAAGTACCTACATGGTAGCAATCCCGTTAAGAAACTGTTACTTCGTAATCATGGCGCTTGCTTGCATACAGTGGTGTCGATTCTGGCATGATTCTCTAAAGCTAACTTAAATTTGACAACAGTGCATCCTTGTCATTCTCTATACAGAATGAAAAGGAGAGACTGGTGTTAAATTTAGTTTTAAGTTTAGAGAATCTTGCCAGAATCGACGCTAGTGTCGAAATATCGGAGACTCATAAAAATAAGGATTTACTTGGTAGTATAATCCCGTTAATAACTATAATTTGCTTTAATTATCAATATTGATATATTTTTCTACATTTGGATTTTTTACAACGTCAAGCTACGATCCCTCCTTTAGATAGGTATAAAAAACAATCAGATATCATGAACATTTCTCTATTACAGAATACAAGCTATTGGGAACAATGGTGTCAGAACAACCAGAAGAACGGTGATATAATAAAAAATCTCATTTTCTACCACTATCAAACGAAACATATCGTTCAGATTAGATGGTTCTGGGGTTATGAGCCTTGATCTGAATGGGAATTAAACCCAGGACCAAGAAAGTTCAACATCCACTGTTGAATAATGTAGCGAGATTTCTCTATGGAAATTGCTATGATAAAAGTCATATATTATTATATGTATAAGTAGTATAACACATTGTATTTATCCATGTGCATGATGTCACTGGACAATATTAATAAGTTATATATAGGTCAAGCAAAACAAGTTCCTTTAAAGACCAGTTCATGTTTTTTTGATCCGGTTGAGAAGATCTAGTTTGACCTCTGCTTTAACTCTCGTGACTTTTATATTCTAACGGGGAAGTTCGATAATAAAAAATGAGTAAGGTCGCCTCAATGGTTTAGTGAACTCTGCTGAGTAAAGGATAAGAAGAAAGTTAGGTTTTGATTGTTTACTTGTAAACTGCATTGTAAGCTCAATCCACCTGGTGCCTCATGGTGGGGAGGTCTTTTTGAGGGACTGATAGGCATTGTTAAAAACATATTGAAGAGGGTCTTAGGAATTTCCTGTTTGAGCTATGAACAATTATTGTTGACTGTGATTTATGAATGCGAGTCTTTTGTAAATTCGAGACCTATTGCCTATGTTAGTGACGATACTCAAGAACCAAAAGCCTTGGCACCTTCTATGTTTTTGATAGTTCGACAGGGTGATAATCTAGGTACGATAGTTTTGTACGATGACAATGAGTTGTCTGCGAAAAATTTAAGTCGTCATAGGAGCGAATATTTAGGTTTACCTACACTCTCGGAAAAATAAAAAACGTTCCTTCTTTTGTACCTAAGGTGATATTGTTATTGTTGCAAATGATACAGACAAGCGTGTCCGATGGCCTTAGGCAGTGATTGTAGAGGTGATACCGGGCAAAGATGGCAAAGTGAGGATTGCAAAGGTTCGCACTAGTAAGGGAATGTTAGTGAAACCTGTTCAGAAAATGTATCCTCTGGAATTTGTCACTGACTTTAACTGCTAAGCGGCAAGTATTCAGTACTATTTTTTTAAGTCGGGACGATGCTGTCAATGTTTCGCTCGCGTTTTTCATTTTTACTATAAATTGTAATTATTGTACATAATAATGTTCTCATTAAAAAAAAGTAAAGATTTTAACAAGATAAATGAGGATCTACATTTAAGTAAAATTTTCTTTGCACACTTATGATGTTAATCTAAATACCTCGGGGTTTGTGGTCGTGTTTAAAATAACAAATATTAATTAGTTTTTAAATAGGCTGTTGCATAAAAATTTAATAAGAAAATTAAAAGTTAATGATATGTTTGAACCGCAACATTTTCATTATGTATAATAATGGGGCGAGATTTACCGACATATATGATTTAATGTAATTATTTCTCTCATTTGTATCATTTACGATTTTCCATAAGTATATTGCAAAGTTGTCATTACTTATCAATGAACTTACCGTATCAAAGAATTCGGTGAATTTTGAAAAATAATACCACCAACACGCATGTACCATCTGAAATGTTATAATGTATATTAGAATTTGCCTTAAAATCTAAATAAAATAATATCAATGTTTGTAAAAAAACTATGTATTGTTACAATGAATTCTTAATCTAGTGGTATGAAGCTTGCAAGTTAATCTAAAGGCGAATGTTTATGACTGATTAGTTTATTAAAAAATAATATATTTGTAACCTATGAAAATGTGGCATGATGGACTGAATGAAAATTATTCTATCTATTGTGTGATAGTAATAATGAAGTATTTATACTGATTTAAATGCGATGTTGGTGTTAAAATGCCATTATGTAATGAATGATCTTACAGCTAAGTCAGTATTGATCTCTTTTTCATGCAAAGATCCAGGGGCTTGTTCTGTGCAATCAGTGAAAAATGCAGCTGTACTCATAACATGGGTGAAATAGGCAATCAGATTTGTAAATTTTGAAAGATAAAAAGGTGATTTTAGATATCTCTGTTTTTTCAATTAACATTTTTATTTTTAGTTAACATCAACGTATGCTTTGTTCACACTTGGGTTTTCAGTAAATAAAAAAAAAAGATTGGTGTTTTTTTATAGCCATGTAGAGAAGAGGCAAAATGGTAGCCACGGGTTCGGTTATTTAATAAACAATGGTAATTCACCCTTATTGTTTGTGGATGTTTGGAGTGGTCGACTGGTTGACACTGATAGCTATACCTGCCTGTGAACCAGCCAGATGCCCCGATCTGAAACAATACACCGTCACCATACCCTAGTCAATCTAATATTTACACAAAGTCACATGCATTCTCATGTGAGCGAATCTGTTAACCACCACTCTAAATAAAATCTTATGTAAGATAATACATATATATACAAAATGATTAAATATCTGTTTTCTACAAGGGTAAGTTCATAAGTTTTTGGAGCATACCTCGCTTGTTCACTGTTTGGTAAGCAATTTCAATTGTTTTGTGTTTCATTTGTTTTCTATTATCAATATACATGCAATTTTTATAATAAAAACGAATGAACTAACCCATATACAATACTAATGTTAGTTTATGATGCCGAAACTTGTACCATTCGACATTTGATATTATACTAACGAAATATAACTTAGACTACTTATATTGATATCCCCTGATATACGATAATTTTATACACAAGACATACTCAATGAGTATTTACAGTTGATAATTGTTAGTTTTGTTGCGATTTGTTGAAGAGCCATTTGCTTCACTTACTCTTGTGGCTACAGGATTGTCTGAATAGTCCACAGGTTCACACTTAAAACTGTAATGTTTCAACCAACCCCCCATCAAGCTCTGGGTAGGGTAAGGTAATAAGATTAACACAAAGTAGAATTAGCAATTAACAAAATAGTAGAGAAAAATCTAATATTAATTAGGTATATAGGCCAACTTGCACCAACATTCATAAATTACATCAAAGTTTCATCCAGTATAGCATAGTAAGAAACGAAATCTAGTAGTCTTATATATTATATCACTACTCTACTAGGAACCGGAGTTTTATTGCTTTTTAATTTTTTTTTATAGTCTCCACTAGGTTTTTTGCATTGCAGTAAATGCTGCACGAAATGAAGATTCATATCATGTTCCCATATTATTGATGTGACTAATTAAAGGTATATCATCTGGGAGTGTTATTGAACTAGGTTTAGCTTCATGGGCTCGCATACAAATTTGATTTTACAATGTTGGTGCAGAGGAATTAATTAACTCTAAAGTTCGATTAAAGTTTTTGCTAGCACTTCTTTGCTATAACAGTAAAGTAAGACAACACATGAGTTTAAGAGCCTCCGCTGCCTTAGGGCCTGCGCTCAGTTAAGCGGGGGCACGGAGTGGATGTCCGCTCCGCTTGCTATTTGAAGTCATTTTGTAGAGCAAAGCTGCGTTCAAAACCTACGTTCTAGGTGCAACAAATGTCAAAGTTGACATTAGCTTCATATATTTTATGTCAAAAGTAACAAGTTCTAAAATACATCAGAGTAAAAAGTGCCGCTCAGAGCGTAGGTTTTGAACGCAGCCCAGCGCTGGGTGAAGCCGGTCAGCGACGGCGCACGCTCGATTGGCTGGTTTCTGTGTTCTTGTCTTCGTCGTCTTTTGGCTTGGTAGTATTATAAAAAAAACTTAACGTTTGTTCACCCGCGCGATCGGAATTGTACTGGCGCGGCGCTGTGAGAGTCGGTTGAACGAGCCCACGTGTTGAACGGGTCCCGCCACGGAGCACGGAGCAAATCTCCGCGACGGATGTCCGCTCCATACTCCGTCGCGGATAATTCAAACACATCGCGCCGCCCGTACAATTCTGATCGCGCGGGTGAACAGTCGTTAATGGATTATTTTTGTTAATAATACTACCTAGCCAAAAGACGACGCAGACAACTGCTTTCAGCATAGAGGTATAGGAGTAGGGGAGCTATAGACTCTACTGCAAGTGGAAGTGTTCCTCTTATAGAAAGAGAAAGAAGATGAGAGATCGCTAGCTTTCTCTCTCTAATCGCGCATGCGTAAGCATCTTACTATTTAGATATGATGCTTGGACCAACTATTGGACAGACAGTCGTCTGAGCAGTCGCTCATGCGTCAAAAGACAGAGATAGCTAGCGGTCTCTCATCTTCTTTCTCTTTCTACTAGATGGACACTTTTGGAGCCGCCTTTCCCACTCTATTCTTATACCTCTATGGCTTTAAGGCAGTTGACGCCCTAAGGTAGCAGCAGGCAAATGACATAAAATTGATTTCATGTCTCCGAGTATGGCTGTTAAAATATTGAACTTTAAGCAGTATAGCACTCTTTATAGTTTGTAATTAGACAACATAGCTACTGACTAGATTTTAAGCTGTGAAGTAATAATTATTGGTCAGTGCATTCGCCCGGATTGCGAAGGGTGCGGGTTCGAGTCCCGTCTGCTGCCTGGTCCGCGTGGAATTTTTTCTAGTTATATTTTCTTTAGATTTAAACATCAAGCAGTTACATGCTTTAAAAATAATAAAAAAAAAAATAAAAAAAAAAAATTATAATAATTATTAATCAAAATAATTTAATTTTAATGCAGATAAAGGGTCAAATCTAAGTACTTACTAACTATAATTATTAAAATAGCAAGTACACAAAAAGCAATTAAATTAGTTTTGATAATAAAACATTGGGATAGTCTGTACATCACTCTCCTTTCAAAGATAATAAATGTTTAGAACTTTATCACCATTTAAAATTAAATAAATTTAATATCAATTTGGTGAGTGTTGTCAGATATGCCAATGTAATAAAGCAAGATTTTAGCCACATAATTATATTAATATGGGAACTTACCTCATAAAACAACCATGCACTGAACAATACTTGTAGTAAGTTGTATACTATTAAAACATTTTTTAATTCATATGGTTTTCTATTTTGCATAAACCTTGGACCTAAAACCTGTAATAGAAATAAGGTTTTACATTAATGGAAATAATAAATAATCAAATTTAAAGCATATTTTTATTTATGATTTAACTATAATAACTTTTAACTTTCTCAAAGAAGTAATTTGAATCAAAGATTTGCTTATAAATTATAGACAGTATAAAGTATCATGTTTTTATTACCTTGACTAGATATACATAGCTTAAGCATATTATTAACGTAGGTAATGGCGAGCTCATCAGGAACCAGGGATTCGTTCTAGGGTCTGAAAAAGTATTTTTGTGATTAGGTTTCATACATATATACCAACATCAGATTAATGAACTATCGAGATGTCTTTGGTTAAACAATCTATTTTGAGTATTAAAAATGTGTATAAATAAACCTAATAATTTTCTAAAAACCATAAAGATTTTTTTTAAATGGATAATTATTTTATCCCTATATTTATCAACTGTGATAATAATACTAAACACCTGTCCCCCTAGCATAAGTGCTGTAATATTATATTATACAACATGATTTTATCACTGTCAATTTTCATTGAACTATGGAGTAATTTGTGATGAAAACGATATAATATACAGAAAAAAAACATATCTCAAATGTTTCATATAAGTGTCTCCATTTTATACCCTAAAATTTTGGATCATACATTTAATTTTAATTTACAATGTGTGATTCTGGAACGATTCAATATTACTTTAATAGAAGAATCATGCCAGATTCAGGTCCATTACTATTTGCTATTTAAATTAGTGTGGGAAAATTATTTTAATTTACCTAATTGGATATTGATGAGTTCATGTATTGAATTAATTTAACAGACGAGGGATCAAGCAATTAATTAAAATAAGTTATCGAAAGTCTTGCTTTTGTTTTTGTATTTTTAAATAATGTGAAAACTTTAAATACTACTTACCTCCATGTTTGTCCATAAAGACGTGCATATCGTCTAAATATTGCAGTATTAGCGCCATACTGGTAGTTCCTGGAGATTTAAAAAAAAAATAAAACAAATGAAGTTTACGTGAATTATCGGGACAGTAAATTACGAGAGACAATTACTGAAGTTACTCCAATACCTAGAATAAAAAGGAAGCACTCACGTCACCGTGTATTATTCATGCATACTGTAAATCATAATTTTATTATCTTAATTGAATATTTTATCTAATTTACTAAATGCATTTTGAAAAAAATCGAAACTGAAATTTAGGTTATGTTCCTAATTGCAGCAGACTGAATGAATAGATGTTGCCATATCTATCTGTCAATTTTGCATTGTAAGATTATTTATCTAATCTTACAATGCAAAATTGACGTTATAAGATATTTTTAAGTTGCAAATGAAATCGTGAGTGTGTTTATTTTTAGTTAGGTACCCTCTAAAAATCTGATAGATTCTAAATAACAGTCAGATAAAAAAAAAATGGGTTTGGTTTTATGAAACAACGATAACAGTAAAACTTTGAAAGTGTTTTCGATCGAATCGATTTTTTTTCAGATCGTAGGCATATTAATTGAAAAATTCCGTAAAACTATTTGATTTAGGGACTTCAAATAGCGTTTTTAATCTTAACTTAATAATTGGAAAGTGGGAATTAGGTACATTTGGAAATCAACAGTAGACAAGATATCCAATTATAATGGACATGGACAACTACTGTATGGATGTCGGCATAGTTACTGATTGTAATATGACGAATTATAATTTTGCTATACAAAAATATAAGGTGCTCTGTTTCCCACTAGGCAATGTAGTGCACAAGATATATTGTTTTAAACTTTCATGGTTATTGGTCCCTGACGTTAAAGTAATTTTTGTTATTAGTGGTAATGGTGTCGATTCTGACACGATTCTAAACTTAAAACTAAATTTAACATCAGTCTCTCGTTTTCGTTCTTTATAGAGAATGACAAGAATGCACTGTTGTCAAATTTAAGTTTAGCTTTAGAGAATCATATTTGTATCTTAGGTTTTCACGCACATCACTCTCATTAAATAAAATAATGTTTCGTAGTCTTTACAGGCTACGAAACATCAATAAATAAATAAAGTTTCGTGCATTAACCCGTAAAAACTAGTTTTATTTAGAGAATCATGCTAGAATCGATACCATTGTTGAAAAAACAAGATACATGGGAACAACCGCAATCAAAACATTTAACAAAAATTACTTTTATACACAAGAGTGAATTAATACCATTTAATTATATTTTTTTATGTCAGTGATTATTTATTTATTCTTTATTACCATAAAAAAAAGGACGAACGAACGTACAATAAAAGTATTACTATTAATAAAATACTTAACTGAAAACCTGCGTGATCCATATGACAATATATTGTTTGAATAATAATGTTGAATCTTATTATAATTTAGTTTTACTAAATTATTTAATTTTTATTTTATAATCTTCATTATCAATTTTATTTCACAATGTATTTAAAAATGGGTAAAAAATAGTCTTTTCTGTAAAATGGCAACATTGGAAGATCTGACTGACAGGAACAGGATAGATGGCGTAATCAGCATAGTGAAAGACTATCAGTAGGAAAATAGTAAATATCCGCTTTCCACTGAGATACGGCGAATCAGGAATAAGCGGAAAATAGCTGGGCGGAGCATAGGTAAAGATAACGCGGCAGTCCCAAAAGCGTTCTAAAGATTTAGGTAGGTACTATTATGTGGCATTGTTACTGCAGATTTCCCGTAGAAGTTCAAATAGTATCTAAGTTAATGTATCTATTATACCTATATTGATTATAAGTTCATAACTATAACGGAAAAAAAAACTGTGTACCAACGTATTGCTTCTTCCCACTACTCTCTCTCTCTTAATATCTGTCATCCTTCCTTGATGACGTCGATAAGAAATGTTTAATGCTTGTATTGGAAGTTTCATGTTAACATTCAGCCACAGAAAGCTATTTTGAGAAATAATAAGGTATTTATATTTTAATAGTTTTAACTCCAGACATGAAGATGCTAATTTCTCAAAGGTACAAATAAAAACTCTGAAACTCCGTTTTAACCCCACGCCGTTGAAGTTATTTATACATATTTGTATTTTTCTGGTTAATCAAGGACACTTTATTATCTAAATGTCGATATAACGATAACAATTAAGTACCTTTATAAAATTTCACTTATTTACTTCATTTTAGCTCTGAAGGGATGTAATCCTATAAAAGTTCTGAGCATTTATATTTTTTTCTAAAAACCCTTGGCTGTTCTCTTGGTGACGCAGTGGAAGATTGATTTTAATCATTGGTCATGAAATTAAACCCGATCAAATTATTAGTTTTTTGTAAGGTAGCTTAGGTACGTATTTCAGAATTGATATTGAAACTTCCTGTAATAAAATTAAACTCTCTCTTCGACTTTATTTTTGAAGTTCAAAATTAAATGATGGTTAAACTAATCAACGGTGAACTAATATTAGGGCATTATTTAAGTATGTTTTAAAAAATAATAAATAATGTCCAGTATAAAAAAAGAATAATTATGTTGTGTTCAATCACATTAATCACTGTAATTTTAATTATTTAGATAATTTAGGAGTTTGAAAATTAAATTCGGTCGTGCGTCCGTAATCATGTCATGACCAACGGTATGATAAGGGAACAGTCCAGCCCCTCTAGCATGACCACCGAAACGGGATATGTTAAAGCGATATATCGGCATTAACTGTTAGACTACAGTGGAGTTTGACAGTAGTCTGACAGTTAGTGCCGATATATCGCTTTATCATATCCCGTTTCGGTAGTCATGCTAGAGGGGCAGGCACGGTAAGATAATATTACCGTGGTCCAGAGTTAGGTACCTCCTACAGAAAAAAACTGTAATTTTTAGCAAAACCTACCTTAGTCCAGACGTGACGTAATTTTTTGGTAATGGTAATAACGGGAAGCGGGATTATTATTATTTACTCACACTTTTTTTGAGGATTTCGAGGCACTTCGAGTTTTTGCTATTTGACCAAACAATATCTGTAACAAACAAAATAGATTTTTGAAATAAAATTAAATAAGCAGACCATGCTTAGATTAAAACAAAGCCCTTTTTGTTTTATTCTCTCTCGTTTTCCTCCATAGACCCATTTTCTGCCCCGCAATCGGCAATTATTTTTAAATTTGCGAAAGCAAATATCAAAATAATCTAAATTTCATTTGAAAGAATATTTGAAAAATAAAAAAAGAATCATATAAAAAAAATCAAACATAAATAAAACCTGAAATCTGGTACTTTGGGACACTGCATATTGGCTAATTACTCAAAGCGCCATGGTCGAAATTGAATTCTGATCCTCATAATAATATTCGGATTTAGCAGCCTCGAAAACTTATTATACGAGTATCAGTCATAAAATAGTGGTTCAAAAATTTCACCTGATAAAAAAACAGGACGACTGCACTGAACATAGTCATTCAAAATAAAAGTATCACGCATAGAATAAGAGGTACACATAAATATAAATAAAGGCAGCTATACTAATAATATTAATGGTAATTAAATAAATAGGTACCCTATATTTTTACTCAGGTACCGTACGCGTATGCTCAGACTATCTTATCGAATATAAATAAATTATGCTTCTAAAGTAGGTCGATCTATCTTGTGATTGTGAGATATTTAAGTACTAAGTAGACACTTCTCTGATATGTCCGTTATATTGTTCTTGATCTCTTTATTGCACAAGTTCATTGGTTACCTATTTACATACATCAGTTTAAGTAGGTAAGTATAATCTTATTTTATCTTGGCGTCTGGTCGCCGTCACTTAACATCAGGTGGGGTGTAGTCATATCTTCCTGTAAAGACATTCTTATATAGAGTTATACAAAAACATTTTTTTCAATCAATTCAAGGCACCTACATACTTAAGTTAAATGTAAATAAACTTTATTAAAAATGTTTTGAATTTTCATTTAATATGCCAAGAGACTTTTTCCCCATCCTAAGATATTAGAGGTGCAAATATTATTTTATGCTTTTATTTACTCTTTATCCTGTTTTAATCAAAATAGTGAACTATAACTGAGAGATTTTTTTATGTAATAAAAGATTTATTACAAATTTTTCTTTGTCTTAGGTCATGATATTATTTGAACAAATAAATTGGTGTGACATACTTAATCCATTATCTTGGTCCAATATATTTTATATTTCGTCAATAGCTGTATCCAAATAAAGTTTGTAGTTGTTGCTATAATATATCAGGATATCTATGTATCACAAAATATGTCGATTTCTTTCGATTCCTATTAAAAATATTGCGGTGCTAAAAATAAAAGCGTACTGGTGTCGATTCCGGCATGATTCTCTAACCTTAAAACTAAATTTAAAATTAGTCTCTCCCTTTCATTCTGTATAGAGAATGACAAGGATATTGTCAAATTTAAGTTTATGTTTAGAGAATCATGCCAGAATCGAAACTACTACACCTACTTAATTTATAAAAAAAAATACGACTGCTCTACAATAAAATACCGCATTAAAAAATCTAGTAATTCTAGTAATTTTGTGTCTATAAATAAACTCTTGCTTGATATAACATAGTCAATCCACTATGATATCAATGCTTATATACACTCGTTCACTTCATTTATTTTTGTCCTGCACTTGCTTGACACCTGTTCTATCTCATTAAAACTGCCGCCGGCTAGCAAGATTGTATGTACTGCTATTCTATAAATATTGCTTACCTTCGCTATCATCTCTATGAATTTATCTATACTCAGGGCCGGATTTCGAGGTGTGGAGGCCCTGGAGAAACAAAGGAGGGGAGGCTCGTAACAGGGGCTAGTATTTTAAAAATGCCACCTCGGGTCACTTACGATTTGAAAAAATATGTTAAAATGTATCTTATGAACGTTGCCTTAATGATGAGTTGTAGAGCTTGTTAATGCGACTGAATATTTCAGACTTTTAAAATAAGTCACAAAAAGCAGTTATTTACTTACATTAAAAACTAACGGATCATGTTTATTGGTCAAATATGACCAATAAAATAATCATCAAATATTAAATAATAAGTAAAAAAGTCCTTCCTCGGCTGGGAATTGAACCGGGACCGCCCGTTTAGCAGTCGAGCTTTCTACCACAGAACCAAGGATGCTTCTTAGGTCTGATTTTTTTATTAATATTATTAAAATGCGATTCAAATAAGAATAGGAAAGCCAATGACCTCCATCTGTCAAATGACGCTTGAAAAGTACGGTTTGCAAAAATTCTTGGAACTCTTTTTTAGCACTCAGCTAATT